TTTTTTTAAATTGGTAACTTTACAGTCCGACAGAAAAAGGAATGACGTTAAAAAAAAAAAAAAAAAAAAATAGAAAGGAAAAGAGAAAAAAAAAAAAAAAAAAAAAAAAAAGGGAAATAAAATATCCTCTTATGCTTCAGCACCTCACTACCAAAAAAAAGAAAAAAAGGAAAACAAATATCCTCTTCTGCTTTAGCGCCTCCGTCCCTCATCACCGTCCCATAAGCCATCTCCCTCTCCCGTCATAGTGTACCTCAAAATAGCATAGTTGTACTGGGTTGTTTAGGCATCACCAAAAAAATAAAATAGAAAAAAAAAAAAAAAAGGAAAATAAAATATTCTCTAACACTTTTTTTTTCTCAAAACTTTTAATATTTTTCTCAACTTATTTAATTTTGTTCTCAACACTTTTTAATCTTTTTATTAACACCTTTTAATTTTATTCTCAACACTTTCAATCTTATTCAAAAAAAGGAAAATAAAATATTCTTTGACACACTTTTTTTTTTTTTTTTCTCAATACCTTTAATATTTTTCTCAACTTATATAATTTTGTTCTCAACACTTTTTAATCTTTTTATCAATACCTTTTAATCTTATTTTCAACACTTTTAATTTTGTTCTCAATACTTTTTAATTTTTTTCTCAACACCTTAAATCTTGTCCTCAACAATTTTTAATCTTTTTTTCTCAATACATGTAATGTTGTTATCAATACATTTAATCTTGTTCTTAACACTTTTTAATCTTGTTTTCAAAAGTGTTGAGATAAAGATTAAAATATATTGAGGTAATGATTAAAAGGTGTTGAGTTAGAGATTAAAGTTGTTGAAAACAAGATTAAATGGTATTAATAACAAGATTAAATGGTGTTGAGAACATGATCAAAGGTGTTGATGACAAGATTAAATGTGTTGAGAAAAAGCTTAAAAATTGTTAAGGACAAGATTAAATGTGTTGAGAAAAATATTAAAAAGTGTTGAAAATAAGATTAAAAGGTGTTGATAAAAAGATTAAAAAGTGTTGAGAATAAAATTAAATAAGTTGAAAAAAAGATTAAAGATGTTGAGAAAAAGAAAAAAATAAAAGTGTTGAGAATAAGATTAAAGAGGTTGAGAATAAGATTAAAGGTGTTACAAAAAAAAATAATAATAATAATAAAAATAAAAAAAAGAAGAAGAAGAAGAAGAAGAAGGGTTTTGATAATAAGATTAAAGGTGTTGAGAAAAAAGATTAAAAAGTGTTGATAACAAGATTTAAGATGTTGAGAAAAAGATTATTATTAAAAGTGTTGATAAAAAGATTAAAAAGTTTTGAGAACAAGATTTAAGATGTTGAGAAAAAAATTATTATTATTTCATGTTGTAATCAATATAATATTGAGTTTGTTAATAAAAAAGAAGAAGGAAATCACTATTAGAACTACCTTTTGTGTACATGAAGAGTTGTACATTTTCAATAATTGCCTTGTATTATGAAGCTTTGCATTATATATAATCTTCAATCAGCTTTCCTATAAAAGGTGTTGAGAACAAGATTAAATGTATTGAGATAAAGATTAAAAGTGTTGAGATAAAGATTAAAAGGTATTGAGGTAATAATTAAAATATGTTGAGTTACAGATTAAAGATGTGGAAAACAAGATTAAATGGTATTGATAACAAGATTAATGGTGATGAGAAAAAAAGATTAAAAAATGTTAAAAGGTATTGAGGTAGAGATTGAAAGGTATTGAGGTAGAGATTAAAGTTAAAGATTAAACAATATTGAGATAATGATTAAAATGTGTTGAGTTAGAGATTAAAGGTGTTGAAAACAAAATAAAATAATATTGAGAAGAAGATTAAAAAGTGTTAAAAACAAGACTAAAGGTGTTGATAATAAAATTAAAAGGTGTTGAGAATAAGATTAAATGTATTGATAATAACATTAAATGTGTTAAGAAAAAGATTAAAAAATTTTGAGGAGAAGATTTAAGGTATTGAGAAAAATATTAAAAAGTGTTGAGAATAAGATTAAAAGGTGTTAATAAAAAGATTAAAAAGTGTTGAGAACAAAATTAAATAAGTTGAGAAAAAAATTAAAGGTGTTGAAAAAAAAAGAAAAATTGTTGACAACAAGATTAAAGAGGTTGAGAATAAGATTTAAGGTGTTAAAAAAAAAAAAAAAAAAAAAAAAAAAAAAAAAAAAGGTGTTTTTGATAAGAAGATTGAAGATGTTAAGAAACAATATTAAAAATTGTTGAGAACAAAAATAAAGGTGCTGAGAAAAAAAGATTAAAAAGTGTTATCTTTAAAGTTGAATAAGATTAAAAGGTATTGCAAAAAAAAAAAAAAAAAAAAAATGTTGAAAGGGTTGAGAAAAAAATTAAAGGTGTTAATAATAAGATTAAATAATGTTGAGAATAAGATTAAATAGTGTTAAGAACCAGATTAAAGTATTAAGGTAAAGATTAAAAGTGTTAAGATAAAGATTAAAAAGTATTGAGGTAATAATTAAAAGGTGTTAAAAACAAGATTAAATGGTGTTCAGAATAGGATTAAAGGTGTTAAGAAAGAAGATTAATAAATGTTGAGCATAAGATTAAAGGTGTTGAGAAAAAAGATTAAAATGCATTGAGAACTAGATTAAAGGTATTGAGAATAACATAAAAAAAGTGTTCAGAACAAGATTAAAGAGATTGATATTAAGATTAAAGGTGTTGAGAAAAAATAAAAAATGGTGTTGATAACAAGATTGAAGGTGTTGAGAAAAAAGATTAAAAAGTGTTGAGAACAAAATTAAAGGTGTTGAGAAAAAAGATTAAAAAGTGGATGAAAAGTATTGAGGCAAAGATTAAAAGTGTTGAGATAAAAATTAAAAGGTATTGAGGTATTAATTAAAAGGTATTGAGTTAGAGATTAAAGGTGGTGAAAACAAAATTAAATGGTGTTGAGGACAAGATAAAGAGGTTTAGAATAAGATTAAAAAGTGTTCAGAAAAAATATTAAAAAGTATTGAGAATAAGATTAAAGGTGTTGAGAAAAAATATTAAAAAGTGTTGAAAGGTAGTGAGATAAAAATTAAAAGGTATTGAGGTAAAAATTAAAAGGTGTTGAATTAATGATTAAAATGTATTGGTTTAGAGATTAAAGTTGTTGAAAATAAGATTAAATGTGTTGAGAATAAGATTAAAAGTATTGATCACAAGATTATGAGGTGTTCAGAATAAGATTAAAAAATGTTAAGAACAAGATTAAATGTATTGATAACAACATTAAATGTGTTAAGAAAAAAAATTAAAAATTGTTGTGGACAAGATTTAAGGTGTTTAGAAAAATATTAAAAAGTGTTGAGAATAAGAATAAAAGATATTGATAAAAAGATTAAAAAGTGATGAGAATAAGATTAAATAAGTTGAGAAAAATATTAAAGGTGTTGAAAAAAAAAAAAGTGTTGAGAATATATTTTTTTTCTTTTTATTTTATTTTTTAGGTTATGCCTGAATAACCTAGTACAAATATGCTATTTTGAGGTACATCAAAGAGGGAGATGGCATACCGGACGGGAGGCGCTGAAGCAGAATATTTTGTTTGTTTGTTTTTTTTTTTTTTTTTTTTTTTTTTCTTTTTGTTTTTTTTTTCTTTCTATTTTTTTTTTTTTAATGTCGTTCCTTTTTCGGTGGGACTCTAAAGTTACCAATTTAAAAAAAAAAATTCTTTTTTCACTATAGTATGGGTACAGCACAACGCGTTTACAGTAGAGAATTTTAGTGCATATTTTACACATATTTTAACAAACAGTTATCGAGCCAATAGTAAGCCCCCTAAAATTATTGTTTCCTTATTTTACTTCTTTAAAATTTTATTTCCTTATCCTAGTAAGCCCCAAAATTATTATTTTATGATTTCCTATAAATTCCTAACATTTTTATTTCCTTATATTATTAATTCCAACTAATTATAGCTATTTCCTTAAAGTAAGACCCCTACAATTATTAGTTTCTTATTGTGTATTATTATTTTTATTTTTACTTTTATTTTTAACAATATATTCTAGCAATTTAACAGTGTTAGAAAAGAATTTGATTCATTCTAAAATTTTCATTTCACTCCCTATCAAAATTCCTAGTTCTATCCTTATCTAATATTATTTTTTCCTTCATCCTCTTATTTCACGTTTCTATTGAGTATATATTTAACTAATAATTAAGGTTTAAAAAAAATTAACTAATAATTATAGAAATTAATTTTTAAAATTATACGATAGCGAAAAAACAATGACATCATGGAAGATTCTTCAGTCTCATTCTCAAGCCTCAACTAAATGGAAGATCCAAAAGAGAAAAAAGAGTAACAATTCGAATACGAATATTTTAGGTACGAATAACATGACAAGGTTTAAACTAGAGCCCTGCCAAAGGAGCTGTATATTTTATCATCCTATAGGTGAATCACACAGAATGAAAGATCCAAAGAGAAAATACAAATTCAAACTTTTGTTTGTGACATAAAAAAGTTGTTGGTACGTTTATTTAAAATTTGTATATTCAAATAATTGAATGTTTGGTTGGTTAGACAAATTTTTTGATGCAAAAGTAAAATGTCGGTATTGTCCTATTAATTATACATGAGACAATAAAAACAAAAAAACAGTGATTTCAATTTTAAGGGTATTTGGGCTTGTTCTTAAAAAAAAAAAAAAAAAAAAAAAAAAAAAAAAAAAAAAAAACAGTGATTTCAATTTTAAGGGTATTTGGGCTTTTTCTTAAAAATAAAAAAAAAACAGATATTATGGAGCAATTTGCAATTTTGCACACATTACATTTTTAAATGTTATACACATACTAAATAAGGTATTTTTTTGCAAAATTTTTATATATTTTTTACACTTTACTCTTTATTTGAATTATAATTGTTCAATTTTCAGTGATATTTATAACTTGTAACTTGAAATTTACCTACTTTGAATATTTGAAACTCAAACAAATCACAATCTCAATTTAACCATTTTTTTTTTTTTTTTTGGGTAAAAAAATGGTAAAGGGGAGCAAAACAAAAAACAAAAACCAAAAGTTTTCTAAAAAAATTACTCCTATTAACCAACCAAACTTTTTTTTTGAATGGTAACCAACCAAACTTGAGATTAACATAAACCATGTAAAAATTTATTGCAAATAAGTGAAATAAGGGTTAAAGCGCAAACAAATGCTACTATAACTCACCGACTAGAGAAAAATAGCACTTACAGTACACTCATCAACTACATATTTTTTTCTTTTTTGGGTAAATAATCAACTAAATAGTAAATATTAATCTCATAGTCTCTTCTTCCATAATATATTAAAGAATCTACCATACTGGGAAAAAGAAATCTCATTTACGAGTCATGATCGAACGGTCAACAAAGCTCCATCACCGAGCCGCAACAGTATCAGCGTAAGAATTCACCAACGAAAGCGCATTACTGGTGACGTCATAAACCTCCACAACACGATCACAGATGTCCGTCTTCACCGGACCACCATAGTCGATTTCCTCTAATGCGTCCGTACACGTGTCCTGGCACGTGAGCGCCCCGGTCATCCACGTCTGCACGTTGCTAATCTGGAACCCCAGCGACTGCGACTGGCCGGGACGGTGGAGACGCTTCATCTGACTGAGCGAGTCGCGAATCCCCTCGACGGCGCCGCCGAACACCTCGAAGCAGACATCGACGGCTTCGGCGAGTCGCTTGTTGCCGCCCTTGTCGGCTTGGCGGGAGATGTTGGCGACGTAGTTGGCCATGTGCTTGACTTTCGAGAGGCTGACGGCTATGGCGACTTTAGCAAGCCGAGCCGGGTCCTCCTTGATGGCGTTGGCGAAGCCGGAGAGCGAAGTGTAGCAGAGCTCAGGGTATGAAGTTGCGTTGCACTTGGTACGGATGAAATCTGTGGTATTGTTGGGTTCAGAATTGGGAGATTCAACGGCTGAGATTCGTTGGACATGGAGGAGTATGGCTAGACAGAGAAAACATAGGAGAGAGAATGAACCTAGCTTTTCCATTATCGTTAGAGAGCTTTACAGGGTTAAATTCGAAAAATGCTAAGGAATGGTTCAAGTTTAAGTAGGCTCATGACCTTAGCTGTAATTACTTTTATACCCTCAACAATATATTTTATTGGTATAGAAATATTTGATTTGAGTCTAATACAGAATTAATCAATATATAATCAATTATATCACTATTATTTAAATTCTTGGACAAAGTACAAAAAAATCACTGGTCTTATAGTTTTTTTTCAGTAGACCCTCTTATATATTTTTTTACCAAAGAACTCTCTCAACTTGTAGTCTTCTTCAAATACATCTCCGTTGTCTAACTTATTACCAAAGACCTGAACGGGTAAAAGAGTTAATATTTAGATCAAAATGTCTATTGATTAAAATTTTAATTCTCCTGAACTTCAAAAATACCGCACATTTAAAAATTGTAAATAATATATGCACTGAAAGCTTATAAAATAAGGATTTCAGAAATATAAAATTTATACAACAAGCCTTCATAACCAGAGAGAAATAGGATTTCTAAAAATCTACTCCAACAATCTTATTAAAATACTCATCGGAATTATTCATTTACATATTTAGCCTCAATAGAGATCGATTTCATGAGATAGCGTCAAAGTATTTTCATTCTTTTATAGACTTACTATTTAAAAAAATAAAAACGGATATTCGATCTCTATTGGGACTAATTTTTTTTTTTTATATGTTATTCTCCATATGAAAATGAATAATTCGAAAAAATAAAATAAGATTGTTGTAATAAATTTTTAGATTTTCTATTTCTCACTGATTATGAAGTTTTGTTAAACAAATTTTATATTTCTAAAATCCTTATTTTATAAACTGGTTTGTGAGATATGAATTTTTAAAATTTGAAAAAATAAAGATTTAAATAAAAGGGTTTTTTGATTCAAATATCAACTCTTTTACTTTTGAGGGGGTTCTTCGGTACAAAATTCGACAAGAGGATTTATTAGAAAGGGTAGGGGTTATTTAAGAAAAAATTAGACGGGTGGTTTACTAAAAAAGGTTACAATTTGAGGGGATTAGTTCTAAAAGGAAATACTCCTATATTTTTTGGAATCCTAATATCAATTTCCTTTAAAATAAGGAAAAAAAAAAATTCATTGGTAAAAAATTCCATAAAGGAAAAAAAAATTCACCCTGAGAAATTTTAAATCTTATTTCCTTATTATAGTAAGCCCCTAAAATTATTATTTTATAATTTTCTAAATTCCTAATATTTTTGTTTCTTTTTATTATTAATTCCAACTAATTTTAGCTATTTCCTTAGTTTACTGTGTATTATTATTTTTATTTTTAATAGTGTGAGAAAAGAATTTGATTCATTCTAACATTTTCTTTCCACTCTCTGTCAAAATTCCTAATTCTATCTTTATCTAATTTTTTTCCCTTCATCCCCTTATTCAAGGTTTCTATTGTATATATATTTAACTAATAATTAAGTTTTAAATATATATACAATCGAAAATGTATGAAACTAGAAGTTTGTGAGGATTAATTTTGCACCCAAAGAAGTGTAATAACGAAATTTAGATAGATTATATATATAACAACTTTGTTGAGTTTTTTGTTACCTAGTAACAATTCGAATACGACTATTTTAGGTTTAAACTAGAGCCCTGCCAAAGAAGCTGTATATTTTATCATCCTATAGATGAATCACACAGAATGAAAGATCCAAAGAGAAAATACAAATTCAAACTTTTGTTTGTGATTTTTATTTATTTATTTATTTTGTACCCAAATAATTGAATGTTTGGTTGGTTAGACAATTTTTTTATGCAAAAGTAAAAAATTGTAATATTATGAATGTTATACACATATTTACATACTAAATAAGGTATTTTTTGCAAAATTTTTATTCATATTTAAGTGAAACTTATTCAATTAATTGATATTTAAATCTTACTATAAATCACAATTAATTAAACAACGAATTAATTAATTTAGACTTAAGTATAAAAATACTTATCAATCAACAAATTAATTAGCAACCTAGCCACTTTTATACCTACATTGAATATTTCAAACTCAAACAAGTCACAATCTCCATCATTTTTTTTTTTTTTTTTTTTTTTTTTTTTGGGTACAAAAAGGGAAAAGGGGAAGCAAAACAAAAAAAAATTGTAGTTTTCCGTTCCATTCTGCAAAAACAAACCAACCAACCTGAGATTAGTTGAACCAACTAGAGATTAAGCATAAACCATGTAAAAGTATATTGTAGCTAAGCAAATGAAATAAGGGTTACCACACACTAAACTTAGAGAAAAATAGCATTCACAGGCCACTCATCAACTAAATACTTTTTTCTTTTTTGGGTTAAATAATCAACTAAATATTAATGTCACTCTCCCCATAATATATTAAGCAGTCAAACATACAAATAAGAAATCTCATTTACGAGTCATGATCGAACGGTCTACATAGCTCCATCACGGTGATGGAGCCGCAACAGTCTCAGGGAAAGCCTTCAACACTAACGCAATCGCATTACTGGTGACGTCAAAAACCTTCACAACCCGATCACAGATGTCCGTCTTTACCGGCCCATCATAGTCGATTTCCTCTAATGCGTCCGTACACGTGTCCTGGCACGTGAGCGCCCCGGTCATCAAAGTCTGCACGTCGAAAATCTGGGACCCGATTGACTGCGACTGAAGACGCTTCATCTGCCTGAGCGAGTCGCGAATGTCGTCGACAGCGCTGCTGAACACCTCGGAGCAGACGTGGAGGGCGGAGGCGAGTTCCTTGTTTCCGCCCTTGTCCGCTTGGCGGTAGACGTTGGCGACGTAGTTGGCCATGTGCTTGGTTTTCGAGAGGCTGACGACTAGGGCGACATTAGCCAGCCGAGCCGGGTCCTCCTGGATGGCGTTGGCGAAGCCGGAGAGCGAGGTGTAGCAGAGCTCAGGGTATGAAGTTGCGTTGCACTTGAAACGGATGAAATCTGTGGCTTTGGTGGGTTCAGGTTTGGGAGATTCAACGGCTGAGATTGGTTGGACATGGAGGAGTATGGCTAGACAGAGAAAACAGAGGAGAGAGAATGAACATAGCTTTTCCATTGTTGTTAGAAAGCTTTCTGACTTGAAATTCAGAAAACAAATGGGTTCACGAGACGATAGTTTAAGTAGTCTACCTCGCCAATATATTTTATTTTGGTAAATAAATATTTGATTTGAGTCCAATACGGAATTAAATAATATAGAATCAATTATATCGCCTTATTTAAATTCTTTCCATTTAAATACGCATAATTGGAAACTTATAGATAGTTGTAAAAGAAAATCAACTAATTATATATACTTTAATACCCTCACCAATAAAGTATAGATATGAACTGAGCGATTACTGTTATACTCTTACCACTACATTTTTATTGGTACATTTGTGTCCAATACGGAATTAAGTAATATAGAATCAATTATATCACCTTTATTTAAATTATTTCCATTTCAATGCGCATAATTCCAAACTTATGGATAGTTCTAAAAGTAAATCAACTAATTATATACTCTATATTTTTTGGAATCCTAATATCAATTTCCTTTAAAATAAGGATATATTTAGAAGAAAAAAAATTCACTGGTAAAAACTTTCATTCATCATTTGATTTTTATTTATTTTTTAATTTTTTTTTTCTCCCATATTTCAAGTTGCATAACAAACCCATTTAGTCGAAAAGAGCTCGTTTGATATTTTTTTGAAGGCTTATTCCATATGCGTATTAAAGGATGCTAACATAGCAAAAGAATTCCTTTGGCCAGAATAGTTTTAAAATTTTATAACTCAAAGTCATGCCATGAAAGAGAAAAGATCATGTTTGGCTTCCCGACGAAGAAGGGAAAAGAGGAAAATAGAGAAGGTTTTTCCTTTTAATATAATCCATGAATCTGTTGCATATTAATTATTAGCTCTTGCACAAAAGAACTCAAAAACCGAGTCCGTGTAGAGCGGTGGGATGGAAAGATGCCAACAAAGTAATGGCAATGTATTTGTGTTTTTTTTTTTTTTTTTTTTTTTTTTTTTTTTTTTTTTTTTTGGTGTTTGATCGTATTAATAATAATAATGAGAAAAATATACACTTATAATAATAGCAATGATTTTGATACAAGTCACTAAAATTATGTGAGAGATGACTAATTATGGTGTCTGGAATGTATCTATTTATGGACTAAAAATCTAAATTGTACCAAGGGATTTATCCCAATGTTATAATTTCTTCATCTTCAAAGAGAAGGAAATGATTTAAACCCACTACGTTTGGTGTGCAGGAATGGAATGGAATGGAATGAGCCATTCCAACCATTCAGTTGTTTGGTGTGCAGGAATGAAATGAAATGACCATTCCAATGGAATGAAAATCCATTCCATTAGTAAACCTATTGAATGACCATTCCATTCCATAGTAAAATAAAATATTTTTGTAATATTCCCAATAAGCCCTTAATCACATTCCAATAAAGCAAAAATATTTCGCATTCACCAAAAAATTTTCACATTCCATTTTTCATATTTATCGGCTTCTTTATCAGACGTGATAAAGGTCTTTCATCTTCCATCTCTTCTGAATATACCCAGAGCTGCCATTGACAAAAAGTTACAGGACTTTCAACCAAATTACAAGTTTTAATTTCTTTGTTTATTTATTTTTGATAGGTAGGTATTAAATCTCTTTTATCTTCTGAGTATATCACTTTTTTATTTTTATTTATTTTTTTTGTATTGAAACATTTGTGTAATCATTTGGAACCAAAAGTGGACTAGTTTGACTTTTGGACCCTTAGTCAAGTTCATTGTTGGATGACTGGAAAACCTTGCTTGATTAGAATTTTATCAAAACTAGAATTTTCAAGAAATCTACAATAAAAAAAAATTACACAAGTACTTGGAAATATTACTAGGTTTTTTTGTTGGGTTGATAATTTATTTATTTCCTTAACTTTATTTGAGTTGATCTTATGGTGCACGATTTTTTTTATTATATATTAT